GTTGCTGCGGTGGTTGTGGCCGCGGTGGTTGTGGCGGCGGTGGTTGTGGCCGCGGTGGTTGTTGCTGCGGTGGTTGTGGCCGCGGTGGTTGTGGCCGCAGTTGTTACTGCTGTTGTTGCCGCGCTCGTCGCCGTAGTCGTCGCTGCGGTGGTGGTGCCAGCGCCGCCGTCGGCCTGGCGTCCCCCACGGCCCCGGAGTTGCGTCCCGTGCAGGGGCTCTGCTGCCATCAGCACCAGCAACAGCGTCGCCTGCAAACCACAATTAGTTTTAGTTTCCTCCACTTTGATGTCGATTTGCGTACCGGTGATCAGCCGGGGCATCGTCGGCAACATGACGACGAACTTTCTGCATGGTGGACAACCGTTTCAAACGTGCATGCGGCACGGTTTGCGCGACACACAAGCTTGCCAGCTAAAGTCCCCCCGCGGCTGTCGCCGTGCCCGCCCCCCGGTGCCCCAACACTCACCACGCCGCCGACGAGCCTCGCCGCTGAGACCATAGTGTATCGTCCTGACGGGCGCCGGAGCCCAACTGCAGGTCGCCCCGCTGGCCCTCGGCCGTGTCTTAAAAGCGGCGAAGCGGCGAAGCGACGGTGCGGGCCCCTGTTGACTGCGGGGTCCACTCGATAGGTCGATCCCCCGCGGCGCCGACGAGCTCGACCGTCAGCTCGCCGTCAGCGCCAAAACAAACCGACCAACAGGCTTTTATTTCACCGAGCAGTAAAAGAGGGGGAAACAAGAAAAAGACCTGGCATTTGGTTGGACCTGGCGGCGTGTTGTGTATGTGGGTGGAGTGAGGAGTCACGGCAAACGGTGAAAACAAAAGAAAAATTAGCGCGCTGGATTTGGCGTTGTCAGTAATTAATGTGGACCGAAGCCCTGTGTGGCTGTATTAGAGTGGAAAGAGGCGTGCAACTTATCAGATTTCTGTTTGGCTCTGGACAGGAAGCCAAACACTTTTCTGGGCCGTTTTTGGCATCTGATGCTGAATCGTCTTTGACACTTGGCCACTTACCTCCACTCGTTCAAAACAATCGTGTATCTGGAGGGGTGACATCTTAAAAGCCCTCGGGAACTACTTGGGTATTGGGTACGTACTACGTACGAGCAATTTCGTGGTACTTCTACCTTTTCGGCTATTTTACGGTTATTTCGGATTATTTCGGGGTATTTCGCGATCTTTCGCAGTATTTCGGGGATGTTGCGCAACTATTTCACCAACTATTTGGCGTGTATTTCGCTCTATTTTGCCTTTATTTCGAACTATTTCGCAAGTAAGTGATTTCCCCCTCGAAGCCCTCAAGTCATAATGATTGGAACACATTAGAAAAGGCGAGGAAAACTTTGGTAGATTATCCGTTGGTCGGCGAAAGAAATTTTACCCATCGGATGGACAAAGAAAGGGGGGGGGGAGAGATAAAAAGAAAGAGAGAGAATAAGGGGCGATAGGATCGAACCTTTTCTGGAGAAAGAGAGAGAGAGAAAGAGGGGGGAGACGCGTACAGGAGGTGCGCCGTGGGCCCCAGCCCGCCCCAGCCAAAGCCTGCGTCACCCTATACCCACCACGCTTGCCTACCGCCCCCCTGCGCCTTCAAAGTCCAACCCCCAGGGACCCTGTGCGTGGCGGGGCGTGGCGGGGCGGGGCGGGGCGGGGCGGGGCGGGCCGTATGACGTGTCCCGCATGATAATGAGCGCGCAGTACACCTGGGATCCCAGAGGTTTGATCTTCGAACAGAACGCCGTGCGGTGCTGCTAATAATTTAGCTGATAATCGGACTAATAACTTATGTAACGTTTACCATCAGCTCGTCGCGATAGTGTCAGCGACGCAGGCGGGAGGTGACAGTATTACGCGGTATTACGCGGTATTACGCCAGGCCCTGGTGCTCTGCTTCCTCCTCTCCTGCTGGCCGGGGCTGACTGTCAAAAATATTCTCGAGGGTCGAGGGAAAACTGAAAACTTTCCAGGAAGAAGTTCGTAAAGTTACGAACGGTAAAAATAGTTTCTTGTATTTCAACACCCGGTCTTGGATCCTATGGAGAACACCTATGGCATCCAAGGCCAGGTCTTGAAATACACGAAATCATTTTTACTGTGCGAGCTCCGTTCTTGACACTACCTATCGACGTATTTGTATAGTTACAGGGCTATTATGGGGGAAAAGTATAGGGCTATTATGCACACGGATCCATAGTTGGCTCATCATAGGGATACACTGAAATACGAAGTGTCTCCTACCCGTTCTAATTTTGCTGCTTCTGCCACGCCGCAGCAGATGACGCAGGCACACGGCAGACTGCCCGGCACGGCGCCGATCCTCGTTCGCCTGTAAATTTGCATTCCAATTCCGGCCAAAATGCGAAACAGCTCCAGAGCCGCGCTCGCGCGCCGGTTGACACGGCCGGCATTACACTTTGCGTCGAGTTGGACTAACTTTATAAATAACCTCATCTTCATGCCAGGCTGGGGGTG